ATGATGACTTTTGTTTGGGGGGGGGGCAGAGGTGGATGGTGTGGGGTGTTTTGAAGGGGGGGAAGCTGCTTGATCTGTTAGGGAGACAAAGTGGCACAGGGGCTGATCAGGGCTGCTGATCCAGCAGTGGCACAGGGATGTCTTGATTAAACCCTTGCAGGCATGTACTGTACCCCTCCCATGCTGTCCCCATTGTGTCCCTGTGCAGGGGCTGGCAGGGCAGGGGGTTGGTGTTGGGGCTGCTCTGTGTCCCATGCATTACTCCACTGAACTGGGGTCCAGCTAAGGTGCTGGGGGGGGGGTAACTGCACCCTCGAAGGGGGATGTATCTACATCTGTGCCCACATTCTGCTAGCCTTGACCCTGTCACCGTGTTGTCCCCTAAAAGAGGCACTGGCTGGGCCCTGCCCCGGCATAAAGCACAGCCTTGTTAGTCCCCAGCCCTGGGGTGGCCAGGGCCACCCTCCACCCCCTGTCATTTCATGGCTGAGCCCCTCTCCACGCTGTAAAGAAAAATAAATAATTTTTTCATCTTGAATACAAATTACTTTCTGGAGGTGCTCCCTGTGCTGCCTTTCATCACTAACCCCTGCTGGGGGAGCACAGCAGGGTGGGGACCCCCCAGCCCCATGAGCTGCATGCAGGCAGCACAGCCCTGTCTGCAGCCTGCCTGCCCTTCCTCCACTGTGGCTCCTCACCTGCTTGAGTGCTTGGAAACAACTCGTTTGGTGTTTGCACAACAGCTGGGGCTACCATTAGCCTTGCACCCCTGCCCTTTGTCCCAGCCCACTCAGAGATGCTGGTTCACTTGGTTTAAAAGGCTGGGCTGGCTCTGGGGTGTGTGTGTGTGCTGGTGTCCTCATCAACCCTGGGAACCCCAAATGGGTGGTTTGGGGAGGGTGTCCTGCCAGCCCTATCTCCAAGTATCTCCATTCCCCAGCATGGTCCCACACCAGCATCTAATGCATCCAGAATCCCTCAATGTGTGGGGATGGTGGGGGGTCACGGGTGGGCTGGGAGGGCTGCCAGCCATCCTCTTTCCCCAGCATCACTCCTTGCCTGGCTTCAGTGCCAGGCAGTCATCCCATCTTGAGCATCCACTCACTGTGCCTCAGTTTCCCTATTTTCAGAATCAAGGCCAAGGTGAGTAGTTTTGTGGGTGGGTGTTGTTGAGGGCTGCTTCACCCTGTTTTTGACATGAGGCTCCCTGGTTGTGGGGCAGAGTGTGGGGGCTGTGGGGCAGTGAAGGACGGGGCGATTAGCAGCGGGGTGGGAGGCTGGTGTGCAAACAGCCTCCCCGTGTTCCCTGCCTGCCGTGGCACCTCCTTATCAGCTCCTGCGCTGGGTACGGGGCTGCACCAGGGCACTGCGAGGCCCAGAGTCTCCCCAGCACTGCTTGGCACCCTGGCAGGAGCAGCTGGGTGGCAATGGGACGGACATGGGGACCTGCTCCCCACCCCAGGTGACTCAGCCCTGGGGATGTGGGTTCTGGCCCTGCCCCAAGGCGAGGTGTGTGGGGAGGAGCTGCCAGAAAATGCCTCCTCCTTGCTGACGGGTGAGGGTCCCAGTCCCACCATAAACTGGTGCATAATGTTAGGGCTTTTATTTCTCTTCTCCCTGGCTGAGCACACGGGATCTGCCTGGACCCTGGTGCTGCCCAAAGCCCTTCCTGGAGGTGTCACAGTGCCCAGGAGCTGCCTGGGTGCCAAACAGCACCAAGCTCTGCCAGCTGGCACCAAGCTGGGCGCGACTGGGCACACCTGGCCTGGCTGTGACCCCTCTGCTCCTTCTTTTTGGGGCTGCCTTGCAAAGCTGACTCCTTTTGCCACCATCCCCCCGGGGTGGAGGAGGTGGGGGGGCTGCCTGCTGGCTGGAGGCTCCGGCCACGATCCCTGCCGCGGGGTTTCTCTGGGCCAGGACGAGCAGTTTCTGCAGAGCTGAGTTTTGGCAACAACCCTGCAACCACTAGCTTGGTTCCTCCCCTCCACCTGCTCGAGGAAACTTGAAGGACCAGTTTCTCCTCCCGGATGCGTTTCCTCCCCCATCGCTCTTCCTGGCTCCACTGGCAGCCAAAGAGTGACAGCAGGGGGGTAAGCCTGGCTGGTGCTGCCTCCCCGGTGCTCCTGCTGTGCCCTGTCCTCTGCTTCCCACTGCCAGGCACTGCTGGAGCTGCTGGGCTCCCTGGAGGAGACCCCATCCCAGCTGGTCCCCCACCAGCCCTGGCATGCACCCCAGCCCACTGCCCCATCCCCACCAACCTGCCTGGGTGCCACTGTGCATCTCTGTGCCCTGTAACCCTTAGGCTGATTCTCCCAGACTGGCACCCCTGGGTGCCTGGCAGCACCCCACAGGCTGACAGCTCTGCTAACAAGAGCATAAGGCATGTCCCCGGGGGCATGTAACAGCAAACAGAAACTTCCTTATTGCCCCCAGGAAGGTGTCCTTGGACCCGAGGTGCCCAGGAAGCTGCCGGGTGTGTGTGCTGGGGTGGGGGCTCCACTTTTCTACGCATGACAGAGTGGGGGACAGCAGGAAGGTGAAGTCTCCCTGGCAGGGACTGCAGGCAGTGGGCAGTGCCCTGCTGTGCCTGAGCCTGGATCACTGCTGTCTCCAGCTGTGCACCCTGGCCATGGGTGGTGCCACCCACCGTGGGCAATAACCCCTGCGTGGGTGCTGACCCCCCTGAAACGACTTGGAAAGAACCCTCTGGGGTGGGCAGAGCTGGCAGGTGGGAAAGGCAGGGCAGCTGCATCCAGAGCAGACTTTGCTTTTCTCCTGGCTTGGATTTGCCACTCTCCTGGCTGGGGAGGTGAAGAGGAAGGCAGGGGGAGGGACCCTGTTGTGCTGGGGGACATTGGGCAGCAGAGCTGGTGTCACCATCAGAGCCAGACATTTGGTCCCCATGCTCCAGAGTTTGCTCTGTACGGGGAAACAGGGGTGCACAGAGACCCCCACCCACCTGGAGTCCCTGGGAATGGTGTGGCATCTCTGGCCTCTTCCCATCTGATGTGGCTCCACGAGCCCCGAAGCGGTGGGGACGGGCCCTGTACTGCTGGATTTCCCCCTCCTGCAGCAGCCTCGGACCTTCCTCCTGCAGGAAACAGCCACTTGGAGCTTATGCATGGAATTTCCCCCTGCTTGAGGGGTAGGATGGTTCTTGGCTGAGCTGCTCTCTGGGAGGCAATGAGGAAGGGGCTGGGGGCTGGGTCCAGCCCCACGAGCCCCGAAGCGGTGGGGACGGGCCCTGTACTGCTGGATTTCCCCCTCCTGCAGCAGCCTCGGACCTTCCTCCTGCAGGAAACAGCCACTTGGAGCTTATGCATGGAATTTCCCCCTGCTTGAGGGGTAGGATGGTTCTTGGCTGAGCTGCTCTCTGGGAGGCAATGAGGAAGGGGCTGGGGGCTGGGTCCAGCCTGCCCAGCCCAGCCCCCTGCAGCTTCCTTCCCAGCGGTGTGTTCAGCTTCCCCGTGAGAACAGGGCGGGGCTGGAGCCCCCGGCAGATGCCTGGGGATGCCTTTCCCCCCTGGCTGCCGTGTCTCCCCACCACGGATAGTGCAGTGCATGGGCCAGACTCCCAGGTGATTATCAGGGCATGTTTGCCAGCAGCATCACCTGCCCCGGGGCAGGAGCAAAGCCCCCGGTGGCAGAGGGGTGTGTGTGCTGGCTGGGAGTGGCAGCACCCAGCACTTTGGGAAATGAGCTGCACCCTGGGAACTGGCTTTGCTGGGGGACAGGGTGGTCATGAGTGGGAGGAGGAATTGCAGCTGTTCGGATTTGTGCTGCTGGAGAGAGTGAATGGGAAGGAAAAGCAAACTCATCTGGCACCAGCTGCCCAAGGAGCACCTGCTGTGGGGCACTGCCCCACACCCACCCTAACAGCTGGGCCAGTGTTCCCGGACTGGGGAGGAGAGGACATCCTTGAAGGGCATGGGCTGGCCTGGGGGAAGAAACGAGGCAATGCAGCCTTTCCTTGGCACAGCCCTTCCCCCTCGCTCCCTTTCTCCTCCTCCCTGTCCCAGAGATAAAGCCTCTTGTGTGCCCACACAGCCCCAAGGGCGCGTTCCGGGCAGCTCCTTCCTCTGGTCATTTGTTGGGATCTCAGAGGAGACGATGGAAGGGCTATTAAAAAGGCAGCAGGCAGGAGCTGACGTAGAACCTGGGGTGTTAAACATTAACACCACACCAAGCAGAACACGGTGTAATAAGCATCACAGCAACAGTCCTGGGTACTCAGTTGAAGATTAATTCCCTGCAGACTCGTGCTGGGAGGTGCAGCAGGGGATGGGGACAGGGATGGGCTGGATGCAGGAGAGGGATGCCCAGCAGCCAGGACCAAGGGGAGAAGCCAAGCAGAGCTCCTTCCTGGGAGCTGTTTGGGCACCTTGGCGTTGCAGGGCTTTTTTATAAAGCAGAGGGTGCTTAAAATCAGGGATCAGCTCCCTGAGCTGGGATGCAGGTGGCCTGAGCATGGTGTCACTTCCTCCCACTCACAGATGGGGACAGGGCCATCATGCCCTGGGCACTGCCCTAGCACTTCCAGCATTTACATCCCTCTGTCAGAGGGAACCATGTAACCGTGTCTGGTACCCTGGATGATGCTGGCTGGAGGGTGCTTCCTTCCATCTGTGGGGCACAGAGGGACCAATGTGCTGCAGGAAGGGTCAACCTGGACCTTGTATCCCACACCCCAGCCCACGGTAGGAGCAGGGGGACTCTCCCTCCCTGACACAGAGATCCCTCTCCAACAAGCATAATGCATAAAAATAAGCACCACTAGCAATTATGCAAAATTGCCCTTCTCCTCCACCCCCACCAAGCTCTGCAAAGGTCAAGTTTCATGCCAAGGCTATTTTGCTTTTGTTTAATTATCAGCCAGCTCCTGGGACACAGAGCAGCCCAGACAGGTTCTCCTTTGTATGGCTGCACAAAGCCAGGGAGGTCGGGCTGGGGGGGGAGGCATGGTGGGACCAGGTGAGACCTGGGAACCCACAATTTGGGAAGCATGGACTAAAGCTGTTGTCAAGTGGGGCTGAGCCATAGGAGCTGGTGTGTTGGGATTCCCATGGAGGGCTGGTGATGGGCCAGTTACCCAGCTGGCTCCTGGACACCCAGAGATTTTGAAGATCTCATGGGCCTCTCGCAAAAGGCTCCCACAGGGGGCTGGCCCAGAGGAGTTCCAGCTATTTTTATTCATGGCAGAACCGACCCAGCTCCTCACTTGGCTTTGATTCACCCTGTTGGCACTCAGCCCCTCAGGAGGAGGGGAGCCTGCTGTGCTGCAGAAGTGGGTTTGCTGGAGGTCTCTCCTGCAGCCCCTACTCTTGCTTTGCCCACCCCAACCACAACCAGGCAGATGTTGAACAACTCAGGAGCAATGAGAGGGCTGCCTCTGGTGTGGCACAACACAAATTGTCAGGTCTCAGCTCCAGTTGATGATGGCAGGGGCCCTGTTCCCTCCAGCTCTTATTCCAAGACCCCATTTCTCTCAAAGGAAAGAAACCCAAATCCACCAGAGGCCAGAAATGCAGCTCAGCCCTACAGGGCTCAGACTGCTGGATGGTGGGGTATAAATACTGGGGCTGGAGGCTTGCTGCCCACCACAAGTAAACACTTCATCTCACTGACCCTGGAGGGGACACCAAGCCAGAAGCAAAGGGCCACAGGTCTGTATTTCTCAGAGGACAGCAGCTGGAGGTTGCAGGAGGTAGGAGCACAGTGGCTGGTTACACCAAACAAGTCCCCATTCATCTGGTCAGTTTCCGTTGGTTGCTGAAGATAAAGGTGATAAAGCTGATAAAGCCTGAGGAGGAAACAGCTCACATACCTGTGCCAGCTGCTCACAGTGGACCTCTGCTGGCAGGGGAGCTGCAGGGCAAATGCCTGGGGCCACTGTTAGACCACAACCAGCCCTGCAGTGCACAGGGCAGAGGTGCCACAGAGGACAGGGGTCTGTTCTTTCACAGCAGATGGCCACAAGGCAGGGACTCTTAGAGCAGGCCAGCCATGAAATACAATGAGGCTCAACAGCTTTGCAATGTTTAATCTTGAAAAAATAATTTGATCCAGAAAGCAGCAAGCCCTGGGGATGCCCACACACCCAGCCCTGCCATGGTTGCTGCACCAGAGCCTTGCTGGGGGAACAGGGAGGGACAGAGAACAGCAGCCAGCAGGCCCATGGCAGTGTGCAGAGAGGGGAAAGATTGAAGCCCACCAGTCAAGTCCTGCTGTTGCTGAGAACAGGGAGCCATGGCCCTCTGGTCATGGCCAGGAGAGCAGCAGAAGAGAAGGGAACTTGCATTTAGCCATTCCCTGGCCATAGGATCACCTTCCCCAGCCGCAGGAGGAAAGAGAGGAAGCCAAGCCTGAGCCCTGCCAGAGAAAAAGGGAAAGGGGTGCACATTTAGTTTCAGGGAGAAGGGGAACAGGGCCTTGGGAATAGGGATGCCAAGGAAAGGGCATCATGGTGGAGGGCTGTGCAAGTTTTTCTGAAGCAGGGTATGGAAAGCGAGCTGTTTTCTCCAGGAAGAAACAGATTCCCTTTCCCATCGTGCCAAAAGGACCTGCAGAGAGGCCACCTGCCCACTGGCTGCCAGAGCAGAGTTCCAGCAAAGGGCAGCACTGGTGGTGGCAGACAAGAGCAGGGCTGAACCCAAGCCCAGTACCACCATCTCAAGGGTGCCAACCTGCACTCTCCTGTCTCCCTCCTACATCCGTCCTGTCCCTGCTGCTGGGACAGACAGGTAAGGGACCACAGGGGCTAGAATCCCTGCAGCCACACTAGAGCTGTGCTGCATCCACATAGAGCTCATTTTGGCACAAGAGGTGCAGATTTCCTATGCTGGACAAAGGAGGAAGAAGAGGAACAGAGGATGGAGCCAAAGGGACAAGAGACAAACCTTCCATGACTGCTCCCACATAGACTGAGAGCTCTCAGCTCTCCACCCTGCTTTCCTCCTAAACTCCCCTCCCCACAAGCAATAAATAAATAAGTTAGTGTAGTGTAGACCCCGATGCTCAGTTCACAGTGAGAAAATGAAGAGGAAGAGCCCTTGCGACCACAGCAAAAGGGGCTGAGCAGCAAAACCTTCTCCCAAAGGCAAACCAGAGCATAGCATCCCTGCCCAAGCCTGAGGAAGCCGGGCAGAGAACAGATCTCTTGCTGCATGGATGAGACAGGGAGGTACACTGAGCAAGGGAACCAGGACTGCCCCCAGTGGGGGGCGGGGGAATATTGGTACCAAATGACTGGGGGCAGGAGGGGGCCCTGGGGTCCTTCCTAAGGCACGGGAGAAAGGTTAGAGACCCCCTTCCTCTCCCTACCCAGGAGGGTTGTACCACAGCAGGACAGCCAGGCCGCTCATCCCAGCTCAGCTCACAGCCTCCCTGCTAGCAAGATACCATGGTGAGGGGGAATATTCAGGAGAACAAACCTGCTCTGCCTTCAGCAAGAGCTGGGGGTACCTGGCCAGAAAGGAAGGAGAGGCAGGGTACAGTACCACAGGCAAGGACCTCACCAGAGCACAGGACCTCTCACTCCAGAGGACCCCAGTCCAACCTGCCCCTGCAGCCAGGGGGATGCTTGCTGGCTGCTCCCATCTTGCTCTGCAAGGCACTTACACCCCCTCTCTCATGACTCAGAGGGCTGGGCTGCTGCTCCCCAGAGTGAAGGTGAATGAAGATGGTGATCTGCTTCCATCTAGTCATCTCCAGCTCCCAGAACCACAGGTAAAGGGGCACCTGATCACCCTCGTGCTGGGTACAGGGTGTCCCCTACACATCCACAGCAAGTTCAGCTCCTCTTCAGCACTCCCTTTTGCCTATGAGCTGGGGATGCACCAGTTGCTGTAGCCCAAGAAGCAAAGCTGGCATGCAGGGATATGTCTAACCCAGCATACAGTCTTCAAGGTGCATCCACTGTGCAGGAGATAGAAGAAATGTTGGATGATCCCCTCTTCACCACAGTGTTCCCCACTGGGGATGAAGCCAGCCAGGAAAGAGTTAATAAATAAACACCCAGCTGGCAGGCTGCAGCACTTCCACCCAAGCATACTGCGTTCTCAGGACTTGGGGACCAAAAAGGGAAGCAGAGGTGTTTCTCAAGGCCCCCTTTAGTCCCCAACTGAGCATCTCCTTCCTCCAGCCTTGCCCAGCCAGGGGGCAACAGGAGCAGCATTAGTAAAGAGTCTCTGTTAAAAAAAAAAAAAAAGGAAATTCCTGGGATGGGAAGGACCCTGTCCAGTTCGAGGGAGAGGGAGACCCCAACAGGGGGCTGGAGGGAGCCCAAGGTCTCATTTTGCAGCCTGAAATGTGTGTCTGTGTCCTGCCACCAGCCTCCAAGAGCTGCTGCCACCTCTCTCTCTGTACCATGAAGGTCTCCATCTTCTCCCAGTCCCCCTCACTTCCCAGCTGCCAGTCTCACGTCTGCTCTGCTGCAGCCACCGCTGGCACTGCCACTGCCCCCTCCTCCTTGGCAGGGGGCTCCATGTAGATCGGTGTCACTGATGAGGGCTTCTTGAACCTGAAGATGAAGAGGTTGCATGGGAGCAGGCAGATGTGGTGGTCTCCCTCAGGACCCCCACTCCCAGCAGCACTGCCTGCCTTCCTGGTGTGACCTCCTTCCCTCTAGGACATCCTCCAGCCCTGGACACAAAACCTGTCCCCCCTTCCACCCCAACAATTCAGAAGGGAGGTGGTATGCCCCAGGATTAAGTTGGGACAGAAGCAGATGATGCAGTGTCCTCAGCAGAGGACAGTGCTGTAAGGATGGGGGAGAATTACCCCAATTGCTGTGGCCCCAGTACTCACGAGTAGGGGGAGGCAGGGACCCCCACCACGAGGAAGTGGTTCTTCTTGCGGAAAAGCCGCCACAGCCCCTTATGGTTCCCACGGACGTCCAGGTCCCAGATGTGGAGGCACTAGGATGGTGGGGAGGGGCATCAGAGTCTGGGGACAGACACCAGGGCCAGATATCCCCTGGCAAGGGAAAAGCCACATCTGCTGTCCCTCAGCATGACACAGCAGAGCGGATAGTGCAGTGACTGGGGCAGCGCAGCACAGCGCCCAGACACCAGGGCCAGATATCCCCTGGCAAGGGAAAAGCCACATCTGCTGTCCCTCAGCATGACACAGCAGAGCGGATAGTGCAGTGACTGGGGCAGCGCAGCACAGCGCTGCCCCAGTCACTGTCCGTGAGAGAAGAGGGGGAACCCATTCCCATCCCTGCCTTAGGACAGGTGGTTTGACCATCACCTCCATCATCCAGAAAAGCTCACACCCTGGGGTCCCACACAAGGTCATAGGATTTAATCTCCACCAAGCCAAGCATCTGCCCTTGATTACCCAGTGCTTCTGTTAATACCAAAAGCTAAGATACCACCAAAGGGCAGCAAGAATCCATTTGCTGACCTGAATTCCAGGCAATGGGCAAACCCAAGAACAGCCACCAGATGTTCCCCAGCAATGTTGAGATCAGGGCAGGGGTCAGGACTGGCTGTGTCAGGGTCTCACCTTGGCAAGCTGAGTCCAGGTGGTGAAATCTGCTTCCTGCTCCATCCTGATGAACATGACATAGACCTTGCCCTCAGTGTTGGGCACAAAAGAGTCCTCACATGGGTTCTTGCTGTGGTCCAAGACTTCAGCCTCACTGTGGAAACAGCACAGGGAGTGAGAGGGGACCTCACCTCCTCCCTGTTCCCACTGCAGGGAACTTCAGACAGGCAAGTGGTGCCTGGTGATGCCAAGGCCACCTCCACCCTTTCTTCTGGACTGGTTGGTTCACCCAGCATGCCCCATGGTCTCCCAACTGTCCTGAAGGCACCTACCCCAGGAGCCGATGAATTTCAGTCTCGTAGGCATCCTTCCTCAAGCTGTTGGAGGAGAGAGCAGGGATCAGGGCAGAAACAGACAGCCTGACAAGCAGGGATCACCCCAAAATGATCCAAACTTAAAACTGCCCCAGTGTAACACAAAAAGGTAGGTTAGAACCAATGTATGGAGAGCAGAGACTGCCACATAACCTGGAGGATGAGACAGAAACAGGTGACCATTTAACATGTCCATCAGGGGCACAGGGTGGCTGAATCCAACCTCACAAAAACCACTGCAACATTCCCCAGGGGCTGGAGGTTATGGCTTTTGCTCCAGAAGGAAGTGAGATGTCCCCAGCACAAGGGGACAAGGGACAGGTCAAGCAATTGTTTCATCCAGATCTCATCCTGATCAGCACTCACCTCTCCACATTTTTAAACTGGACGTTTGGAACTGTGTTGAACTTGTGCTTCTTGAAATAGGCTTCCTGGGAGGAAGAGAGAAAGGAATGAAGGAAACAGGGTTTGGTCTGGAGTCAGCAGCATTTAGAGGTCATCTCAAGCATCTCTGCTACCTGGAAAGGTGGCTGAGTCGGAGCTCAGCACCAGGGCAGGGCCTGGGGGCTGAGGGAGGTCACTCACGTGGAAGTAGCCGTTCATGTTAAGCCCCACGATGCCGAAGTGGTAGGAGCGCGAGATGTCAGGGATGATGCATTCCCGGCCCTTCCGCTGCTCCGGCATCCGCATCCACATGTCCCAGTCCCAGAGCTGAGGAGGGGAAACTGCCACTCACATTCAAGTCTGAGCACATGATTTGGTAATATGGCCATCCAGGGACCTTTCTGGTTGCCTAGAACATCTCTAGCCCCTTTTAGGCCCAGCCTGCGTAGGCTGTTCCAGGCAGCTCCATGTCTGGTTATGTGATCCTTAAGTTACTGACTGTCCCTAATCCATTCTGCTTGGGCATCCTTCCCAGTGGAAGCTCAGGGCCCCTCCAAGAGCTGTACCCACAAAGACTGGGTGACGATCAGGGGCTGCTGAGGGGCTGATATGGGGCTGCAGAAGACAGGGTCCCTCTAGGATACTCACCTTTTCAGGGGTTGGCCACTTTGGCTCCAGCTCATCCTTGTACAGGCTCTTGCGGAGCACCCAGCCCAGGCCTGGCATGGTCTCCACACGGTACAGGAGCGAGGGGTCCTCAGCTGTGTGCTCATAGCCCTGCCACGTTAAGGGGAGCATTCAGCACCCTGCATGCACCCCTACCCTACCAAAATAGGAGGCAACTTGCTCCATGGAGCATGGAGACCTCCAGCATGGGGAGCAGGGGACAGCCATTGGGAAGCACAGGGCAGAAACAAGGTGGTGATTTGCAGGAACAGTTCAGGGCTGGGGGGACAGAACCACTTAGGATCATGGTGGGGGAACATCACACTTTACAGGCAGAAATTGGACCCCGCCCTGACACAGGAACAATGCAGGGCAGACATGTCCCTGCTCCACCACCTTCCCTCACCCACCTGGTCATTCCAAGCTGAGATGCAGTACAGGCTCTCGTCTTCCTCCAAAAGGTGTATTGACTGGCTCAGAAAGCTGAGGAAAGAGTTGTCCAGTCCCTGGTCAAACATCCTTCCCTCAGGCAAACCAAGGCAAATTCTCCACAAAGGGACAAGCCACCCCCAACTGCTGGGACCATCTGAACCATTATGTTAGTGTGAGATCAGGGGAAGAACACCCAAACAAACTAAGCTGTATCTAATAATGGAGAAGGGACCAACAGTCTCCTGCTCCATCAGAGTCCATCCTCCTAATGAAAGAACTGGAGCCCTGGAGATGTTGTCCCTGTCCTCTTGCCATGGGGAAGTCCTTTTTTTGTATAGAATGGATCAGTGTCCCAAGAAGCAAACCAGGAAGAGATCCCAGACCTTGAAGTCACCCTGCACCGAGTGCCAGGACAGTAGACTCAAAACTTTCTGCAGGCAGAGAGCTCAATTACAGCTACTGCCTGAGAACTGCTCAGCTTTGGACAAGTGAGCTACAGCACAGCAAGGATCTGGCTTCTCCTGAACAGCCAGAAAGGCCCCACCCAAACAGGAGCTCGGGGACCCATAGCTTTACCTGAAGAAGTCAACAGAAATGTCAAGGTCTTCCTCCAGAACCACAGCAAATTTAGCATCCTGTAGGGCAAGGAGAGATGTCAGGAGGATAGGACCAGGAAAAAGCAGACACCAAGCAGTGTCTCCCTGTGTTGTTCCCTGCCAGACAGGACCGATTCCAGCTCCTATATGACAGGGGTCACAGCTGCCATGATCCCAGGGAAACCCTGCATTGCCTTGCACCCGTGGGGAAGCAGCCAGACAAGGTGCAGGCAGAGGTGTCACTCACCGGGAACAGGTTGAAGGTTGCAGTCAGACTGGCTTTGTAGTGCTGCAAGAAAAGACACAACATTGCCAGTGATAACATCAACCCCCTTACCACGGAGGGGGGTAGCCTGGCACAGATGCAGAGCTAAGCCTGCATCCCTGGAATGCTGCCCTCCATCCCAGGAAACAACTCTCTAAGGATCTGGGAAAGGCCTCTCACCTGGGAAACTCTGGCATTTTTAATGCTGATAGGGGTATGCTGGATTCCTGAGAGGCCAAACAGCTCCACAACATCCATTGGCTCCTGCAAGGGGAAGGTACAAGGGTCATCAAACACATGGGTCTCCACACATTCTTCCCACCCCTGCCAGTGTCAGCTCCCTGGAACAAGAAGAATATGCCTGTGGGATCCCTTGCATGAAGCTGTCCTCTTGCAGGCAAGTGAGGCTCAAAATGATGCTGTGTTGCAGATCCCACAGCAAGGAACTTGTCAAATCTTCTTGGCCTTTCAGTCCTCAAGTATCACCATAAGTTTCTGTCAGCCCTGCTAGTTTGCAGATGCAAAGTTGTATCCAAGAATACCTGAGGTGCCCAGAATTCCCAGGCCCCCATTTCCACAGTGTGGAAAGTAGGCAGGAACAGAGCCAGGAACACCTAAGAGATGCTTAATGCTGAGACCACAATCAAATTCATTTTTTCTCACAGTCACCAAGAAAGGGGCCTCTCTGACCAAGCACACCCACACTGGGGGCAGAAGTAATCCACATTTGGGCTGACGTATCTCTGTCCCAAGAAGGCCTCAGCAAGGCCTTCTCCATCCCCTTACTGTCCATCCCACCTCCCAGCCACAAAGGAGAGAAGGAGCTCCCATTACACCAACCATTCCCCCTTCCCCTGGCATCCAGCATGGCAGCACAAGCATCCAGGCTGGCCCCTCATAGCCCAGGGATGCTGCTATGGTTGCCATGGCAATGGATGCTGCTATCTTTAACCACTCTGATGTGCTGCAGTAAGAGCCTGCATAAACAAACCAGCTTCCCCAGCCCCACAGCCTGGCAGTGGTGAGAGATGCCTGCAAAGGAACAAGCCTGTTCCCTTCCCAGTCTCCATCACAAGGCAACCAGACAATACCTCTTGGGCTGCTGCAGAGATGAGAGCTAGCAAGCTCCTCTTCCTGGCCTCAGCTTTCATGACTCTTGTGAAAAGACCATTTTGGGTCTATCTACCTCTTCCTGAAGAGTGGGGTTGGACAGGTGTAACTGGACTGGTTTGTTCTGCTTCATGCAAGGAAACTGGATGGGAGCTGTTACACCCAGACCCTGCTCAAAGGGCTGGTGATAGTCATCAAGCAAGAAAAGGGGATGTGGAGAACAAAGCATGACCACCTCACTCCTGCACACCAGCCCCTTTCTGATGTGGGGATGTAAAACCTGGGCTTTGGGAAAGGCCAAAGCAGCTTTATTCACACGCTAAGCTGACTGACTGTGTAGCAGAGGGAAAAAGCAGCACGACCCACAGCAGGAGACAGGGTGAAGAGGCTCATAGCCCACCACCCACCAAGCACTGGGCCAGCATGACATTCTCTCAGCAGGAGGGACCAAGGACGTGGTGACAGGGACCTCTGGGAGTGCTCTCACCTCATAGTATCCATCGATGAAGACTGTGATCATCTGTGGATTGACACCCTGAGCCGAGAGCAAGGAGCGCAGCATCCTGGGGAGAGATGGAGCAGCCTGAGCACAGCCCAGCCCAGGGTCCAGCAGGGGGTATGGATCCCTTCAGGTGGGGGAATCCCTTCTAGGTGGGGGAATGCCTTCAGGTGGGGGATAGGGTGCACAGTAGGGGAACAGGACCTACTACCCCTGTGCTCTTCCCCTTCCCATGGCCAAGGACTTTGGGATCTGTCCAAGCAGGTCCACCCATGTTGCTTGTGGAACCTCTGGGAGAGCCTGATCCTGCCAGCAGGATGAAGGGAAGGCTTGGGCCATGCCTGGTCTTGAGGTGCAGAGCAGAGAAGCTGTGTCCCCTGGCAGTGCTTACCTGTACAGGTAGTTGGGGCGGTTCCCTGCAATAACAGCTACAGGCACATCAAAGACTTTATTGTCTTTGAGCTGCAAGAGAACAATGTGTGTGAGTGGGGCTGAGGGAGGCCATGCCAGAGAGCAGGATCCAAGGGGTAGGGATTTGTCCCACTGTTCAACAGTGGGGCTGCAGAGTCCTGCCCCTTGGCTCGGGACCACACCGACCAACCAGGACTGCCCTCAGCGCTGCTGGAGACCCTGCCAGCTTCCCCATTTCACCCCACTTCAGACTCAGCTCCCAAACCCAATCTATATCCACCCAGAGATCTTTGTCCAGACCCTGCAGCACTGTGCCAAGGACAGCTCAAAGGTCGTCGTGGACTTGGAATTGCTAGATTAATGGTTGGGCTTGACACTCTTAAAGGTCTTTTCCAACCAAAACAATTATATGATTCTACAGATGCTCTGTCTCCAAACATACTCTGCTGCTCAAGCTGAGGTTCCTAACGCCATGGTAAGCTGGCAGCTCAGGGCAAATACAGGGCAAGGGAACTTCCCTTCCACAGCATGACCTTACCTTTGCTGGGGTCAAGAGCTTGCTCAGGGACAGTTTGCACCACCCAGCTGGTTCTTAAGGACAGGGCACTGCATATGAGCTACAAGCACACCCAATCCAGCTCAGCCCTCCCTCCTGGAGCCTTCCCCAAATACTCAGCCCCTTCACTCACAGGATCAGGGTTGAACTCAATGGGTGTGGGGTCTTTGCAGCTGCAGACACTTCCATAACCTTCCACTTTGCTGCAGAACCTCTTTCGTCGGGCCAATGGCACTCAGCTTCTGGAGGCACCAAGCAGGAGAAACAGACTGCTCATCCCCATGGCCTCACCTCACGTGCTCCAGGCTGCTCTGTGACACAGACAGCTCTGGGCTCAGTCATCACTGAGCCAACCCTTATTACTATGATCAAGCAACGTTTCTGGATGTGGGATAGAGCCACAGGAGCTATTCAGAAGCTACTCCCATCATATGGCCTCTCTGAGCAATGGGCCATGTTCAAGGCCAACAGTTGAAAAAAGAGTGGATCAGGCCTGGTTTTGAGAGGTGACGAGTGGCCAGACCATGTCTCCACTTCCTCTCCCTCCCCCTTCTCATCAACCATGCCTGGAATTGCCATGGGAGCAGGAAGTAAGGAAGCTGGACCCATTTTAAAAGTTACCATCCCCATCACAAACAGCCTTAAATCCATCCTGGATGTTGCTGAGACCCTTGACTTTGACATAAAACCACCAAGAGCAGCAGGCAAACATCTGGCACTGCAGAGCACTTCCTACCTTCCACAGATGTCAGATGAACTTCTGTCTTCAGCAGTACAGGGTCACCCCACGTTGAGAGGGCAGGTGACTTGGCGTGCTTCTCCCCATATACTTCCCCTAGAGCAGGGACACAGAGTCAGGATTGCCTGGAAGGGCCCATCCCTCTTGTGTCAGGGTATGACCAGAGGCTGTAGCTTACAGTGGCAGCTTGGCACCTTTTCCCATTTGCCTCCAGTGAGCTGCTGATGGGCCATGCTTTGCTTCCATGCCCTCCCTCACCCCCAGGAATGGAGTTGCCATTCTCTGTGACTCGTACTCTGCTCATACAGCATGCTGGGGATGGACTGGGCTTATCTTCTCTTGACTTCTCCCCAAAAAAGGAGCCATGAACCCTCTCCTGGCCTGTGATAGACTCACCTCCCTTCTTCCCCACAAATGTCCACATGTCTCTCCAGCTCAGGAATGGTGCAACTTGGCTCCCCAGACTTTTCAGGACATTCTTGGCTGTGTCCTTGAGGTGAAAGGAGCCTTCATCCTGGAACAAAATACAGCTTTGCAGCTGAGGTCTGTCTCCTCATGCAGACAAGGAAAATCTCCCACCAATAGCAAAGAGGTACTGGGATTTCTCCTACCCTTGAACCAGCTGAGCCAGAAAACTTCAAGAGCAAGCTCCTAAGGCCTCTGTGCCACTAAACCTGCCCAGTGGCTTCATTGTGACCCACAGGGAAGTGAGAGGAGTTGTGGACTCCTGTTTCATCAAGATCAAATTGTTCTCAAACAGGACCATGTGTTCAGCAACATTTCACACAGCTGAACTTGAAACCTTGAAGAAGTCAGTGTTGCTCACCCAGCAGCCCAGAGCTAGCACATTCCACATTTACTCCCAAAGTCTATAACTGGGACCCAGAAGGGTCCCACCATATCCTTACATATCATCATGTCCATTCTCCACCTAACATCTTGTTTACTGCTGCAGACTCTGAAACATCTGCTTTTTGTTCTTCTGCCTTCCTAGACACACAGCAATAACTGTAGTAATAAGGTGGGAGCAAGAGGACAAGGGAGGTGATCCAGGCAGGAGGCAGAGCCCAGTGGGGATGTGACATTAGCCCTGGGAATGCCTGATGACATTCAGGGAGCAACTGCCCAGAAGAGCTCTAGGGCATCCTGACTCAAGTTGACTTTTTCTTTTGACATACCTTAATGGTGAAGATCAGGATCCGGCCCCGTGCAACCATGTTGAGGAAAAGTACCATGGCTTCATCTTCATGGGGAGAATAGGTGTCAAAAACCCTCTTGGCCATCACGTGACCCTGTTGGTATTCAAACGTCAGATGGATCTTAAATGCTAAGCAGTCAGGGCACAGAATTATGGAAATCTGTGCTGAAAGCCTGAGCAACACAATGAGTTACTTTTCTGGTATGCCAGGGAGTTAGTCCTCTGGAAATTCAGCCCTTGGGCCTTCATGCATGACATGAAGTGCACAGAGATCTATGGGACAGCATTACCCAGCCTCACAACTCCTCTCCTGCCTGCTCCCCAGGGACAGCTAGGCAAGCACTGCTGAGACACTCTGGGTGACCATGTTGAGCTCTGGAAACTAGAGGCAAACAAGCATTCCAGGACTTCTCTCCTGGCTGCCCTTTGCCTCAGGCACCCAACAGTTACAGAACAAGGACAAACACTGCCCAGTAAGGAAGACAAGCACAGGCAGGCAGGGATGCTTTACCGTGGCCTGATTTAAGACAATGACGTGGATCCCTCTTCCCTGCTCCCGAGCCTCATCTTCCAGCACCTACAAGAAGCAACGAGAACCATATGTCAAGATCTCTTATTCCCTGCCCATTCAGCTCAGTAGAGCCCCCAAACAAGAGGCAAGTTTCCTGTGACTTTTTGGCTTTGCTCATGGCAGTGATGGATGCCAGAGCGCTGAAAGCCTGAGCAACACAATGAGTTACTTTTCTGGTATGCCAGGGAGTTAGTCCTCTGGAAATTCAGCCCTTGGGCCTTCATGCATGACATGAAGTGCACAGAGATCTATGGGACAGCATTACCCAGCCTCACAACTCCTCTCCTGCCTGCTCCCCAGGGACAGCTAGGCAAGCACTGCTGAGACACTCTGGGTGACCATGTTGAGCTCTGGAAACTAGAGGCAAACAAGCATTCCAGGACTTCTCTCCTGGCTGCCCTTTGCCTCAGGCACCCAACAGTTACAGAACAAGGACAAACACTGCCCAGTAAGGAAGACAAGCACAGGCAGGCAGGGATGCTTTACCGTGGCCTGATTTAAGACAATGACGTGGATCCCTCTTCCCTGCTCCCGAGCCTCATCTTCCAGCACCTACAAGAAGCAACGAGAACCATATGTCAAGATCTCTTATTCCCTGCCCATTCAGCTCAGTAGAGCCCCCAAACAAGAGGCAAGTTTCCTGTGACTTTTTGGCTTTGCTCATGGCAGTGATGGATGCCAGAGCAGAAGACAATGTGGGAAAACACCTCCACAATCCTGTAGACAGGAGGAGGATCCACTCTTGACCTTCTCACCAGCCACAGAGTTGCTCTCACCACCCGCTGCTTGAGGCTTCACCCATTCAGCTCCTCTGCTGACTGGGACACTCAGCACACCCATCACTTACTGTTGTCCCATCCACAGCCACGTAGACCTTCGACCTGCTGGAGTACACCTCGACATCCAAGACCTTCTTGTTGCTGACAGGGTGCCTGGGGACCTCCACATTCAGCATCTCATCATCTACAGGGGAGAAATTCCCAGTCTCAACCACTCAAGGCACCTCTTGCTTGTCCTTGCTCAGTGCTAGGCCAGCCAAGCCAAGGGGGTCATGCCCACCAGGTATCCCAGCCAGCGAGCCATAGGTCAGAATCTACAGGAACAGCAGGTCAGGGCAACCCAAAGTGGCAACAGGTCCGGCACCAGCAACCCCACACAGACCTCTGCAGCCAAACGTGCTGAAGCCTTGAGCAGGCAGACCAGGAATGGGAACATTCTATTCTATTCACTTTTATTAATCCCACGTGCACAGACCTGTCTTTAATGCTGTAGCTGGTCACAAGTTTGCCCTGACTCATATAAATTACCTCCCACCCTCCTGTTTCCTTGTTTCCAAAGAAAAGCAAGGCAATGCCCCTTACCGTAGTCCTGTGCAGACTCCTCTTCTTCCTCATAAGCAGCTCTCCTCGTGTCCAAGATCAGCTTGATGTTCACAATCACAGTCACAAGCAGGAAAAGGACAGCACCTGTCTGCAGAGGAGGATGCTTTGTGTTACCAACTTGTGAATAACAACCCCATGATCAGGTCACCTCCTTGACATAGGCTGCCAGGCAACCCAAGGAGATCTTGCAAAGGATCAGAGACATCTGCCATTTCCCCTGCTTTCTTCTGGGAAAAGGCAAAGAGAAAGAAATACAGGGGATCAAGTTTTAGGGTGAAAAGCTCTCATTAGCTGGAGGGCACTGAACTCTTGATACATGTGAATTAATCTGCTACCAACATGTCCCTGCTTCCAGACTGGTGGGCAGATTGCTGCTAAAATATTGCACTGAGGTTGAGGGTCTCCTCATGCAAAGAGTTTGCCTCTGCTTCTCCTGCAGCATCTCTCATCGCTCCCTCCACAACCAGAGGATGTATCCAGGATATTCAGAGGGAGAGGAAATGCTCTGTGACTAAAGCAAGGCAAAGGCAAGAAGCTAAGGTCTCTTTTGGGAAACCACACTGTGCTACAGGCTGCACAGAGCAAACCCAGCCTTCCTGCCTGCAGCAAACCAAGGCAACCCACATGGATGCTGACACAGAAGGAACAGCTGATGCTACAGGAAGGTCCAGGGTTCATGGAGCAGTCCATGGGAACCCTCAACACGAGCATCACCATTTCCCATGTTCCTGTTGCTCCCTGAACAAGGGGAGGGAGAAAACACTACATCATTTTTACAAGCACATTTGTTTATCAAGTTGCATCTTGGTTTTGTCTTCCCAGTTTCAGTCTTTCTCCTGGTATTTCGACTCAGCATAAACCAGAAACTACTCCATGCTAAAATGACCTCTTCTGAGACAGGGCCACAAAGGAAATCTTGGACCACCAACATCCCATGCTAGGAAACGACCTGCCTGCAGGTGTAAGCTGCAAGAGCACGTCTGGTCATGGCCAAGAGGATGGTCTTAGAGCTGCAGTGCTGGCTAGGGATGCAGAATGGCCCGGGCTGAAAGACAAGGCCTCAGCTGAAGCAGTTTCTCTTTACTTGACCCAGGGAGCTTTGCAAGCCAGGGCCCAGGTGCTTCTTCATGGTGGAGAGGTGACAGCAGCATGTGGTGACTGCAGGGCTCTGCACAAGGACAAAGCCCCTGCCCAGCAGCCACAGCCCTGCTCTGAGGAACAGCTCTAGCAGAGAGCCCAAATGCTGCCCTGGACAGTCACGTAGAGAGGGAAGGCTTTGCTGCTGGATTTAAGACATAAAGCCCCAAGCAGCCATCACCCATTACCCTCAAAGGTAACCCTGCTGCAGGGCTCTCCTAGCAGCCTCTGTGCCAGGAGGGACCACTCAGCTCACCGCAGAGCCACGACTCAGCACCCCCCCAGCCACCTCCAGGGAGAGAAGGAGAGAAGTGACAGAAGAGCTCACTGCCACGGGGCCAAACCCCTCCTGTCCTTATGCCCCCAGATAACCTCCAGGACAGTGGCTGAACCAAGGATTAACTGCTTTAAAGCACAAGTGACCAAGTCTGTGGCTTTCCCAGACACCAGCTGCCTCCAGGGCACGAGATCCCATTACTAAGCCCTATTTTCTCTGTCCACCTGTCGTGCTTTATACCAGACTTTATATGCAAACCAAATGGAGCAGGGGTGGTTTCCCACTGCAGGCTAAGCCCTGCTGTACAAGTTTGGAACCAAGGGGGGAGGAATCAGTCAGGTTTCTAGCTGAAAGCCTCCCAAGAATGCTCGGATAATTGTATCTCCTGCCATAGCCACCCAGGTCTATTTGCAGCTGAAAGGAGCTGCCAGCCATGTCAGACCCTTCCACACATGGGCACAAAGCCACTGCACGTAGCTTTTTGGTGGACAAGTTATGCTTTCCCAGCCTCTTAGGTCACCCGGGTCTGCCAGCAGATGCACCTCTGCCCACATGGCTGCCTCATAAGGTTCTAAACCCCACAGATTATCCTCCCTAATCCCCCACCAGCAGCTCACCTGGCACAGCTTCCGCAGCGCGCGCTGGTTCATCAGCTTGTACTTCCAGGCAAGGTACCAGCTCCGCTTCTTGTGGGGCTTGATGGCAGGGTTGGGTTTCCACTCGTCCATAGTCAGGGGGGCAGCCACGTGAGGCAGGGGTCAGGACGTGCTCTGCTCCGCCCTCGTGTCCATCGGGGCTCCCTGGCAGGGCAGGGTGGGCACGGAGTGAGGGACGTGAGGGGCTTCAGACCCTCTTCTCAGCAAAGACAGGGCTTGGCAGGAGCAGCGGCCACGAATGGCACCCACGCACCCCAAGCAGGAGCCCCACGGAGCCTGCCAGCACCCACAGCCCCGCAGGGCCAGGCTTCTCCAGCGGCCTGTGAGCAGCGCAGTGGGAAGCCCCTGGGCCCACAGGACAGGGAAGGTCCCTGCTCCAGACCAACC